TTTAGAGGTCTACATAGCAGCCTGTTGGGCATCAGGAGTCCTCTCCCACATGGAACCGCTTAGTGGGGTTTGGGCTTTGAGTCCAGTGCCCAGACTGGACTCTTCAGCTTCCAAGAGGTGACCTGATACTGAGCAGGCAGCTCTGTGCAACCAGCAGTTATTCACTAGTGCCTGAGAGACCAGTCCCGAAGCTTACCTTGCAGCCCTGGCCATGGCCTGCAGAGAGCGCCCTACCCTCCCTGGTAGTTTTGCCTACCTATACTTCGGTTGAGCTTTTAAATTTAAAGTTTAGGATTGTTTCCTCGATTATTTCCAATCTTAGAGCAGTAATGTGTTTTTAAAATGATTCTACTTACTCCCCTTTTTCTACTAAAGGCAACGTAAAATTGTAGACATGAAGGAAAATAGAAAGTTACCTACTTGCTCACTTCAGTATATTTCTGATTTCTCTAACACTGCCTCCTCTTACCTAGTGGCATACATTTATTTTTGAGGCTTACAAAGGCAATATTTCTGCTTTTATAGTGCAGTGTGGTCTCAATTCCATTGACCTTTTTTGGGGGGGTAGGGGTTGGTTATGGGGCTTGACCTCAGGGCCTGTGCGTTGTCCATAAATCTCTTCAGTCAAGCTCCACTTCCGATTTCTGAGTGATTAGTTGGAGATAAGAGTCTCACAGGGACTTTTCTGTCCAGACTTTGATCATGGCTTTGAACCACGATCCTCAGGTCTCAGCCTTAATCTTCCAGCTGGTATAACAACCTTTGACTGTTGAAAATCAAAAGATTTAAAAACAAAACATTGGAGAAAGGATCTTTGTGGAATATGTGATGTCCCCTTTGGACCGTGTTTCTGAAAGTACAGATCGTCCGGGCCACATCAGTATTACGGCGGCCATAGGCGTTTCTGCACTGGGGACACATCAGCCTGTACACACATGCACCCTGGGCCGCCTGTGTGGTTGGCCATCACCAAAATCTGGTCATCTGAATTAGCTGTTGATCACTTTAGTGCCCTGTGAAGTGTGTGTGTGTGAACTGTGATTCTTTGTAGAGTCCACTCATGAAGCCGTTGGAACTTGCTCCAGACTTAAAAAAAAATAAACTTATTAATGACTTGTAATTTTCTGTAAAGAAAGAAGATTGTGGTTATGTGAATTGGCCTAGGAGTTACTCACTTGGATTTCTTACTGTTTTCCCTAGATACTCACTAAGTGGCGGAGGAACTTCATCCCACTGAAATTCCTTCGGGCTCGGGTTGTGGTTTTCCTTTTCTCTTCATCATCCTCCTTTTTAAAGTCAACGAGGGCCTTCCGGCCCACTCTGCTGAAGAGGCGCCGCCGAGGGCGGAGCCCCGGACGCCACAGGTGCCCATCCTCGCTGGGCCACAGCCAGACGCAGCCTCGGCTGGGGCAAGGAGGGGCTGCCCCTTTAAGCAACTATTTTATTTTTTTATTGTTTTTAATTTTAACCATAGTGCACATATATTCAAGGAAAGTCTCTAAAAATGAAAACAAACCCTGAAATGTATATTTGGGCTTACGATAGGCGACTAAGACGTGAAACCTCAGGTACCCGCTGTACGTTGGCACTCCCCGGGAGACAGCCGCGCTGGGTGGTCGGTGTACAGATTTGTATATAGTGTCATTTCTACCGAGACCTTTTTGGCGTGCATAAGGAATCACTGTGTACACACTGGCCACGTGCTTCTGTAGATAATTGTCTGTGGAGTAAATATTTGATAGGCCATAACTTGAGTCTATTGCCTTGCCTTTATTACATGTAAATTTTGAATTCTGTGACCAGTGATTTGGGTTTTGTTTTGTATTTGCAGGGTTTGCCATTAATAATAATTCCTACCCCTCTTCTAGAACACTCCTTTTTGTACCTCGGCCAGTGCAGCTTTCCCTCTTGTCTCTCTCCATCCCTTTTGGTACACTTCGAAGTTGATTTCCTTTGTCATTGATGGTACTATTTCTTAGTGTTTTAAATTGGAACATACATATCTGTCTCATGAAGCTTTAAATTATTACATTTAAGTTTCTCCCAGAGGAAGCGCTCTTACCCAGTGTGTGTGGAACCCTGCCACGCGGTGTGTGTGCCACGCACACCACCGCTCCCCACGCCACGGTCTCTGGACCTCCTAGCTGACTCCGCCTATCATCGCTCCCACCCCGAAGCGTCTGGATGCGTACACAAATAAATTTTATAACACTTATTTTGCATACTCTTCTTGAAACGTGACTGCAGGGTGGACTGGGCACCTGCTGGGTGTGGTTGGATCTATGTGTGTGTGCGCGCGTGCGTGGGTGTGTATGTGTATGTGTGTATTGAGACATTTCAGAAGATTCCAGAGAAAAGTGCCCAGAGGTCAGAACACCCCTTGTCCAGGTTAGCTCGCTATGCAACTTGTGTGGTTGGTTGGTCAGGGGTTTTGGCAGGATGCTGTGGCTCATGGAATCACTGTGCGTCTTCCAGAGACCTTGATGAGTGCTATGGTTCTAGAGGAGCCGTGGCTGCTGCTGTCGGCCCAGGCGGCGTGAGGTGGGGTGGGGGTGGGGGTGGGGATGGTGTCTGTCTGGGTTTGCAACAGGCATCCATTGCGTGGCAGGTTGGGAACTGGGTTCATGAGAAGGGGGAAGGCTCCTTATACCAATGTGGGGCTCTCTCATTCGGGTACGGGAGTAGTCTTGTGTGTGTCAGTGTTGCTGGGTGTTACCTCTTGGAATACTTGGTCTTGAGCACTTGTGGACGCAAGGATGGCAGCTTAGCTGGCAGACTGGAAGTGGCTGCCGCCGCCCACAGTGCAGCAGCCTGGCTGGCGTTGGGAGGGGATGGGCCTGAGCTGCAGGGGTCGGATGGGCGTGTGGTTAATGTTTGGATTTGTTCTACAAAGTCTGTTTTTTGAGACTTAATGGATCTGTGCTACCTTCTCAATGGATTTGGTTGGACTGTTCTAGAAAGCATACCTACGTCTTGGTCGGAGGAACTGAAGTGAATTGTTCGTTGTGACTGTATGTGCTTCCACAGCAAGGATGTTAACTTGAACAATAAAATTTGAGAACATCTCATTTTGTTTCTGGAGTATTCTTTATCAGCAGTGCTTCCTGTAGGTGGCAGAACCTAAGGGTCACTCTTGTCCACCACAGGAGAATATCAACTCTGCAATCGGAATCTGCTTCAGGAGTATGTGGCTTGTTTGGCGAAGAGCCACATGGGGGACGTGAGCTTTTCACAATGACAGACATCTTCACGGTCATGAGTGGACATGCACCTTTGCTTCAAGGGGAGGAGGGAATCACACTCAGGATCTCACACACGAGGCCAGCACTCCATGGCTGAGCTCCCCCCCCCCCCCCCCCCCCAAGCCAGTCAAGCTGTGCTCATTGTGGTCTTAAGCTGCTGGATGGCATGGTAGAAGGAAGTCAGTAGTTTCTTTGCAGTTACTAGATTAAGCATGTGTACTCCCTCTCCTGAGGTAAGTGTGGTTTACTGGTTCAGAACCAATCACCTCCGCCTCGTCTCCCGAACCCTAGGTTCCGTGGACAGACACCGCTATAATGATTCTAAGGCCATCTTGTTTAACCAAGCTGGCTTAACCAAGCTGGCTGTGTCCATTTCTGGTCCTTCAATGTGCTGTAGCAGTGGAACAATTGAGTCACAGAGATGCTTCTGTGCAGGCCATACATGGTTCATGGCCCTGTGGGCTGGACGCACAGCCAGTGTGGGAAGATCAGCACGCACAGCACCATGAGACTTCTGATTTGCTTTATGCATTCTTTTTGGTTGGCCATGGGGCTTGGATGCTGTCCCTCAGCTCTTCATCTCAAGGCTAGTGCTCTACCACAGTGTCACTCCCAGTTTTCTGGTGGCTAATTGGAGATGAGTCTCATAAACTGTAACCCCTCTGTATAGCATCTTTACAGAAAAATAAAGGAAAAAAAGTCTCACGGACTTTCTGCCTGGGCTGGCTTTGAACCATGATCCTCAGATCTCAACCTCCTGAGTAGCTGGATTACAGGAGTGAGCCACTGGTTCCCGGCTTTATGCCTTTTCAAGCCGTCATTCTGTGTGGCTGGCTGTGCAGTAAAGTGAGCCCCAGCCCAAACATGCATTTGGGATCTTTGGCTACCAGCAGCCAGCTTTTTTTTTTTTTTTTAAATGGTTGGTGCCAGTTGCATCTCCCTACCAAAGCTGACAGTTTTGTTGAAGCATCTAAGTTTTCTTTGTAGCATTTTTACCTAGCATTTGGCAAGACCTCTGATCATAAGCATTCTCTTCTCTTAAAGAATTAGGATTTCCCTGGTTCTGCTGCAGAGCATTGAAGACAGAGGGCGCTCCTGTCATGTAAGGTCAATACAACACTCATTCCATGTCTTTGCATGGAGGGTAGAACACCACCTCTTCCTGGTGGCTGGGCATAGATGTCCAGCTGATGGTTTGAAACTATTCATAAATGTTGAAGTAGCAGCCACTTTGTCCACAAGTCTTAATTGCAGGATGTGTACATGTTAGTACTAGAGCTTGAAATTGGGGCCTGAGCGCTTTCCCTAAGCTTTTTTGCTCAAGGATGGTGCTCTACCAATTGAGCCACTCCTCCACTTCAGCTTTTTGCTGGTTAACTGGAGTTAAGGACTGGAGATAAGCCCAGGGTTGGTTTGGAACCACAATCCTTAAGTCTTAGCCTTCTAAGTAGCTACAAGTGTGAGCCACTAGAGCCTGGCTGACAGGTGACTTGGAGCTTTTTTTTGATACCACTTTGCTACTGTGCTGCTTGGTGCCACCCCCCCCTCCTCCCCGCCTTTCACCAGGGACTTCCTGCCATGCAGAAGGCAGGACCCTACACACACATACAACACGCCTTTCTTGGGTGTTCATTTCCTGTCCGAGCCTCCAGCCATTATCAGTCTTATCTCCCCAGGTTTTCCGTATCATTTCGAGTCTGTCCTGTTCCCCTCCACGTCTATCCCGCAAGACGGCAATAAAGACAAGAGCCAGGGTGGTTGTTTTGCCTTAAAATGTCAATATGCTGGATTGTGGCGTGAGGTATTTTTATTCCCTTTTGTTAGTATTTAAAACCATCTGGTACATATTGTAAGGCAAATGATTAACATATCTCGAGCTCTTTATCCATCTGTCAGGCATGGACACCGGTCGGTCCCCGGCTCCACGACATGGGTGGGGGGTGCCCATGGCTTCCCTGGTTGAGGGGGGGTAGTTAGAAAGGCTCAAGAACATGAAGGGAATGGCGGCAAACCCAGTCACCGCAGGGAACAGGCGAATGTTTTCCCACTCAGGCCCAAGTGGTTGTTGGCAACTAGGTTCCTGGTGGAGTCTGTCCAGGATGCATCCTGTCACCCTGTCCATCCGCCATGCCTGGGGTGGTGGTGGGGGGAGAAGATGTGTGTAAAAACAAAGACTTATTTTGAAGACAGGCACAAGAGATAACTACTAGAGAATGTGCAGGTTCAAACCATGGTGGAGGGGGAGGGTCCAGCCGAGGGCCCGGGACCGTGTACTGTACCATTACCCAGCAGGCTCCCACATCCACAGTGCTCACACCGCCCCCTGGCGGAACCCCACCAATGGCCCCAGTCAGTGACATACAGGTTCTCATGCTAGTGACACAGACAGCAAAACACCACGGCCTATCACGTCCTCACTGTATATACCACGCACAGTACAGCGACAGTCCAGGTATTGCACTGGATTTCTGCTTCTCTTCACAGAAAAACAACCCCGCTACAGTTTGTCAATAGCAATCACAAACAATTTGGTCAATTTCCACCAAGGTCTGCTTGCCCCCCACCCCCCCCCTTGGACCCGAGCCCCCCTGGGCAAAACGGAGCACACCGCAGACCGTTGTCAAGCAAAGTGAGTCGTACAAACGTCCTAGTATTATAAAAGTAGAAAGATTGGGGGGGGGGACCCGAAATCTGAAAATGATCTCATTAGCTTTAAGACTGTGCCATGTGCATCGCCAACACTGGGAAAAAAATCCTTTTTTTTTTTTTTGTTTTGTTTTTAAAAACAGCAGCCTACAGGTGAAAAGTAATAAAAAGTCCTTTTCTAAGAAAAAGAAGAGCACGGGCTGTGTCTTGCTTGAACAGACGCGCTGCGTTCAGGCTGCACGGGGTGGGGGTGGGGAGGGGAGATGGCATTTGGCACTCTTAATGATTCAATTCAATACTGGCACAAGCTGAAAAGAGCCCCCGGTGGCGGCGACTGACCAAGTCCCCGGCCTGGCGGAGGGAGGCTGCCGTTCCAATGAGAGATTAACAGCGGAGAAGACATCTGCGGAGGGAGGGAGGGAGGGAAAAGGGCAGACTTGCTGTAGAACCACCTTTGGTTCAGACAGCTGTGGAATATTCGCTAGGCTTCACTGCCTTCCGGGGCAACCGCCACAGCTGCGTCGGCCAGCCGCGTGCAGTCAGTACACGTGAGACTCTTTGTGACTCAAGATGTGGGCCTTGGAGGCTGAGCTGGTAGCGCTTCGGATCACTTCCATCCACCTGCAACAGGAAGATGTCACTATTCTCCGTCACTCTTAAGCCCCAGCTCTGATTTGTCTTCTGTGTGTGTGTGTGTGTGTGTGTGAGTGTGTGTGTGTAGGGCTTCGTGTCACCTGGTGGTCATTATAGAAACATGACCTGATGGGAGACCACTGAGTTTCTACCGGCCATGTTAGCAGAAAAGTGAGGGTTCCTGAGAGGAACACAGTTTGGAAACCCTGGGCCTGGGCGTGCTCATCTCGAGGAAGCAGGCTCCACTTTGAGTGGTTGGTGGCAAGCTGGCCACGTAGGAGACCTCTACCTCCTAAACCTTTTGGGAGATGGTGTAGGAACTCTGCTTTGGGTATCTGGTGAGCCAGTAGTTCTCAGTGAGACCTGGGAAACCTCCGGAGGCATCATCCCTGAGTTCAGGGGTGTCAGTCCACAAGGCCCAACATCCCATCATCTGATCTACCCTCAGAAGGCTGAGGCTGAGTGAGCGGGGTCTCCCCACTCACTCCCAGCCCTCAGGCTTCGCCACTGAAGGCCACATTATCCTGATACCACCACAAACGGACCTCAAATTGGATAAACCTAGCTCCTAAATGCAGCCTCTTAATCTAGATTTTCCAGTCCAGGATAGAGTCTGAGAAGTACAATCTTCCAGGTAGTGTCATTCAGGATCTGCCTTTTTGTTTTCTTGGGGATGTTAAACTGGTTTTATCCCATTGTCTCTTTTCATGGAACTTAAACTAGGGACCGTGCACGGCCCATCATTGGCCCCTTGATTTAGAACTGCACTGGGGGGGTGGGGGGTAGGGGGGGGAGGGGGCTGAGCACCAACGGAACAAGTTCCTGTTCTGTGCAACCGCACAGCCCGGGTGGAAACTCTTCCCCCAGCAACATGACAGCTCTGGTTGGTAACTGCCTCCTTCTTACCTGTAACCCAAGAAGCCCAGCCAGTAGTGGGTATGCCAGAAGGCTGGAGTTCTGTGAGAGGATCAGTGCCTCAGCCCAATATTTCCACTGGACATAGGAATTTCAGGAGCCGTCTCAAGCCAAGGCCTGGCTTTGTTTCACAGATTTCTTGGTTAGATGAAGACTACTGCATTGGGGTATCATTGCACCCCAGTAATGATACTCAAGAGGGGACCCAGGGACACACACACACACACACACACACACACACACACGCGCGCGCTACAAACTGAGCCCTGGGGTTGGATGGCTTCCACCTGCAGGTGGTGACACCTACCGGTCAAACGTGTATTCACTTTCAGCCCGGAAGTAGTACACGTGGGACTTGAAATGCAGCTTGAATACGTAGTCCTTGTGGATGTTCTCGGACTCAGAGGGAATGGTGAGGGAGTACCCCAGCAGAGGCAGGCTGGCCAGGGGGTGATTGTCCTGGGGAGGGGCAGAGGCAGAGTGTTCTGGGGCAGCAGCAGGCGGCCCCCACCCAGCAGTGACTCTGGGAGCCTAGGCGGCTGCACCCAAGGGCTCAGAGGCCAGAAAGGCTGAGCCACTGCTGTGGCTCCAGGAATGAGCCACCCCCGAGGCCCAGGGTTCCCTGTCCCCTAGGGAACACTTACCTGGTGTGATTTGTAGAAGAACAGGCAGAAGTTTGTGAACACCACCCACAGCTTCTGCCAGCCATTGCTGTTCTTGAATTTCCTCAACAGGTTCCCGGACAGCTGGTTCTACAAGATGAACGGGCCGGTCAGGTGCCCAGATGAAGACCCATACTGGCCGAGGGCAGCTAGCCTCCAGGACGTGGTCCCTGGTGGTGTCCTGGTTCGAAGGGCTGCTGGCCACGGGCACAGGGAGAAACACCTGGATTGTATGAGCCTGACTCTTGTTTTGTGTTTGTTTTTGTGCTGGTTCTGGGGCTTGAACTCAGGGTCTGGGTGTTGTCCCTGAGCTTTTCTTTCCCCCCCTTCAAGGCTAGTCACTACCACTTGAGCCACAATTCCACTTGCGGCTTGGCTTTTTGGGTGATTAATTGGAGATAAGAGTCTCAGATTTTCCTGCCAGGGCTGGCTTCAAACTTTAGATCTCAGCCTCTTGAGTAGCTAGCATTACAGGGTGTGAGCCACTGGCACCCAGCTTTAACTCCTGTTTTAACTTCTAAATTAATTTTGTATTACTGGGGGTTAAACTCAGAGCCCAATCTGATTAGGCCCCGCCTGCAGCAGCTCAGAATTCGACCTTATTCAGGAGATGAAGAGGTGAGCAGGGTCTCACGAGTCCTTTCCAGTGTCAGTGGGGTCTGCTGAGTCGTCATGGGGACACAGAGGCAAGGAACGGTGTACAGTAAGCAGAGACCACAGCATCCACAGCCACACAATACCTGGCAGCCAGGAACAAGCTGGAGAGGGGCTGTGAGGCTCCCCACAGGCTTCAGGGGGTCCATAACAGGCTAAAATCTTGAGTTTTGACTTCTAGCTTCCAGACTGGCAAGAAATGTCAAAGCCCCAGGTGTGTGGTTCTTTTTCTGGGGAGCTGGAAGAACTGAAGGGCTCCTGACTGCCACCTAGTGGGCCAGGGTGGAAGCTCTCCCGCACGGTTCTAGGGGCTCCATTCAGCCTTTCAGGCCCCTCAAAAATTCACACTGACTTTACGTGCTTTTGGGGCTTCCAAGCTTTCCATCAAACCCACTACTGGTTCATAGCTGTACATGCCCAGGTGGTAGGCTAGGTTTGGCCTGTGGCAATCTTAGACCCGTGCTTTAGGGGAAGGATGTATTCCCATTTCCCGCTTCCCTCCCCCTCCCCACCCCCCCCACCTGCCCATGTAGGGAAGGCCGTGTAGACCCGTTGCCCACGGGGCCAGGCTAACACAGTATTTCTAGGCCACAGAGGACTTGAAGAGAGGCTCCAATCCCTGAACCCGGTGACCGCAGTGTGACACTACAGTCCCATCACAGCTGGGACTTGGTCTATGTTTAGAGTGAGTGTGGCTGGGTGCTGGTGACTTAGGCATGTCCTCTTAGCTACTCAGGAGGCTGAGATTTGAGGACTGAGATTGGAGGCCAGCCCAGGCGTAAACGTTTGTGAGACTCTCACCTTGGGTAGCTTCAACGCTAGACAGCCTGGATCGGCCAGGACAGGAGCTGGTCCGACCAGGAGGGAGGGAAGCAAGCTTTCCTGTCCTGGCAAACTTCTGGGCTTGGACTGCACTGGGCTGGACTACAGATGGCCTGGAAAGGTCTGGAAGGCTTCACAGTCACCGTGGTCCTCAGCCCGGCTGATGGCGCATGCCCGCTTACCTCCACGGCGATGCTGAAGTCCACCATGGAGACGCTGGTGTTACGGTGCCAGCACACGTGCACCATGGTGTTCCCGCGGTGCGGGGCCTGGCGCTCCAGCGAGGTCCGAGAGGCGCTCAGGTCATCCTCCGACTCTTGGTCGGCCACGGGGGCTTCCTCCGGGGACTCTAGGAGGGGGGGACAGGGACAGCGCTACTGCTTCCTCCTTGCCCCGAGATGCGGGCTGGGCCTGAGGGCCCCGCGTGGGCCTCCACCCCCAGCCTCCCTGCCTCCGCAGGGGTAGGGACTCCCTTGGTGAGCACCGGGCCTGCAGGCCTCAGACAGATGGCCTCCTCCCTCCGTAGGTGCTGACGGCCCTGCTCCCCACTTTTCCAGGGGTTCACTCCAGGAAAGGGGAGGGCCGTGAATTGGAACTCTGGGAGGGGATGGGGGGCTGGAAATGCCGTCTGGTGCTCCCTCCCACAGATGTTCCTTGAGCCACGCGTGGCCTTGGGCCCCTGCCACGTACTGCTGTCGGGAGGGCTGCTGGCGAGGAAGTCGGCCGAGGGGCCGCTGCTTTTCTCCGCCAGGTCGATGGCCATCCGGATGTCCTCCACCCACTTCTCCATCTCGGCCCGGGAACTGAAGATGGACACAGGCATCAGCTTTGCTGAGCACAGCAGGTCAAAGGCACACAGGTCAGAGGTCAGGCTTGGGGTTACCTGGCGGCCACGATGATGGACTGGCGCTGGCCGCGGAGGGTCAGGCAGTGGGGCACGCCCCACTCATCCTCGCTCTCCTCCACCTGCGGGTGAGAGCGGCCATGTTACCTGCAGGCACACGCGTGTGTGCTGATGACCCCCGAACTGACCAGGACACCAAAGGCTGAAACCAGAGCGGGCCCCAGAGGAGCCCGGGCCCCCGCCCAGGGGATCAGCCTAGGACGGGCGGGAGGGAAGGCCAACACTTGCTGACACTTTCATTTATGTATTTTTGGTGCTAGTACTAGGGCTTAAACTTGGAAGCTGGGCGCTGTCCCTGAGCTGCTTCTTTACTCAGGGCTGGTGCTCAACCACATGAGCCACAGCGCCACTTCAGGCTTTTTGGTGGTCAATTGGAGATAAGAGTCTCATGGACTTTCTTGCTTGAGCTGGCTTCAAACCTCAGTCCTCAGATCTCATCCTCCGGAGTAGCTAGGATTACAGGCATGAGCCACTGGCGCTGCTTGGCTTTAATTATTTCCTTTAAAAAAAAATTATGTGGGTCCTTGAACTCTGGGCTTGGGAGCTGTCCCTGAGCGTTCTTGCTCAAGGCTAGTGCTCTACCACATGAACCACAGTGCCACACTAATTGGAGGTAAGAGTCTCCTGGACATTCGTGCCTGGGGGTTGGCTTTGACCCGCAATCCTCAGATCTCCGCCTCCAGAATAGCTAGGATTACAGGCATGAACCACCAGTGCTTGGCTAGAAGGGCCATTCTATAGGTGGGCTGTTGTCCCTCTCCCCCCTCCCACCCGCCCGTGCTCACCGTCATGCCGTAGAGGGGGAGCTGCCCGTGGACTTTAAACTGATTGGAGGTCGTCAGGCCCCGGCTGGTGTACAGCAGCACGTCATTGAACTAGAGGGACAAGCAGAAGGGGGGTGGGGCTGCGTCATCTCTGCTTAAAACCAGCCAGGCCCTCAGTGCAATCGGAGCCTCAACCTGTCCAGCCTTCTGCGCCTGCCTGCAGAGGGGCGTGGTCACGAGCCTTCTGCACCTGCCCGCAGAGGGGCGTGGCCACGAGCCTTCTGCACCTGCCCACTGAGGGGCGTGGTCACGAGCCTTCTGCGCCTGCCCGCAGAGGGGCGTGGCCACAAGCCTTCTGTGCAGAGGGGCGTGGTCACGAGCCTTCTGCACCTGCCCGCAGAGGGGCGTGGTCACGAGCCTTCTGTGCAGAGGGGCGTGGTCACGAGCCTTCTGCACCTGCCCACTGAGGGGCGTGGTCATGAGCCTTCTGCACCTGCCCACAGAGGGGCGTAGTCACGAGCCTTCTGCGCAGAGGGGCGTGGTCATGAGCCTTCTGCACCTGCCCACAGAGGGGCGTAGTCACGAGCCTTCTGTGCAGAGGGGCGTGGTCACGAGCCTCTGTACCTGCCCACTGAGGGGCGTGGTCACGAGCCTTCTGCACCTGCCCGCAGAGGGGCGTGGTCACAAGCCTCCTGTGCAGAGGGGCGTGGTCACGAGCCTTCTGTACCTGCCCACTGAGGGGCGTGGTCACGAGCCTTCTGTGCAGAGGGGCGTGGTCACGAGCCTCTGTACCTGCCCACTGAGGGGCGTGGTCACGAGCCTTCTGCACCTGCCCACTGAGGGGCGTGGTCACGAGCCTCTGTACCTGCCCACTGAGGGGCGTGGTCATGAGCCTTCTGCGCCTGCCCGCAGAGGGGCGTGGTCACGAGCCTTCTGTGCAGAGGGGCGCGGTCACAGCCTTCCTGGCCCATGGTGGGAGGGGGGCGCTACTCACCAAGAAAAACATGCGCTGCTGGAGTCCCTTCCCCGAGAGCTTGCTGAGGCTGCCCAGGCGGATGAACTCCTGCGGAGCAGACAGAACCCGGGTCACCAAGGCTTGTGTGGGTCCCCGACCTGTGACAGGCAGGGGCAGCACACGGGTGCTGTGCTAAGTTAAAACTGGCAGCCTCATCTCATCTCTGCCCCTCCTGGGAGCTGGGGTGGGAGGGGTGCGGTCAGCTCCATCTCCCAGGGCAGCAGACTAGAGGCTCAGCAGACAGAGGCTCAGGGCAGTGGGAGGTGGGTGCGCCTCAATGCAGGGTGTGCTGATCGCACCCCAGCGTTTCTGAGGACAAGGGCAATACACTTGCCCCCAGCTCTGTATGTTCCCCCACCTGGAGGGAGATGACCAGGACCCGAGTGGAGAAAGAAGCTGCACAGAGACAGCCAGGGACTGGAGAACACAGCACTGCGGCGACACGATCCTGCTCCCCGATCCACGACGCGGGTGCTTAGAAACCAGGAACTGTTCCAGGATAAACGAACAAGAGGCAAGCCCAGCAATGGTGGCTCAGCCTGTAATCCTAGCTACTCAGGAGGCTGAGATATGAGGATCTCGGTTCGACGCCAGCCTGGGCAGGGAAGTCCATGAGACTCTTCAATAAACCACCAGAAAACTGGAAGTGGCACGGTGGCTCAAGTGGTAGAGCACTTGCCCTGAGCTGAAGAGCTGAGGGACAGTGCCCAGGCCCAGAGTTCAAACCCCACAACCAACAACAACAATAACAAAAAGAAACCAGAAACTGTTTCAGGATAAACGATACGAGGCAAACTCAGCACAGTGGCTCACGCCTGCAATCCTAGCTACTCAGCGTGCTGAGATACTAGGATGGAAGTTCCAATCTAGCCCAGGCATGGCCATGAGACTTACTGCCAATTAACCACCCAAGAAGCAGAAAGCAGAGCTGTGTGTGGCTCAAGTGGTAGACCACCAGCCTTGAGCAAAAAAGCACCATATCCAGACCCTGAGTTTAAGACCCTGTCTGGCACCAAGAAAACCAAACCAAACCAAAAAACCAACAACAAACCAAAGAGCCTCTGTACATCATCTTTATGAGAATAACAAATAAAAACTAAATAGAAAAAAAACAAAGAGCAAGAAGCAAGTGGGAAATGGGTCTATAGAAATTTCTACCTCAAATTACATCTCCCCTGACCTCAACTCCCTGACAGGGATTGAACAGACAGCAACTTGTACAAACAAACATTTACCGGGTACTAGTAGCTCATGCCTGTCATCCTAGCTACTCAAGAGGCTGAGATCTGAGGATGGTGGTTTGAAGTCTGCCCAGGCAGGAATGTCCGGGAGTCTTGCATCTCTAATAAACTACTCAGGCCAGGGGCTGGTGGCTCACGCCTGTAATCCTAGCTACTCAGAAGGCTGAGATATGAGGGTCATGGTTCAAAGCTAGCCTGGGCAGGAAACTCCGTGAGATTCTTATCTCAATAAATCACTAGAAAACTGGAAGTGGCGCTGTGGTTCAAGCGGTACAGTGCTTACCTTGAGCTGAAGAGCACAGGGACAGTGCCCATGCTGAGTTCAAGCCCCACAACTGACAAAAAAAACTACTCAGAAAAGTCCGGAAGTGGCACTGTGGCTCAAATGGTAGAGCGCTAGCTTTAAGCACAAAGAGGCTCAGGGACAGTACCCAGGCCCTGAGTTCAAGCCCCAGGACTGGCAGAAAAAAAAAGAAGCAAACATCCATTCATTTCTTTTTGTGTTGAGAGTCTTGCTATGTTGGCCTCAACTTCTGAGCTCAAGTGATTCTATCAGCCTCCTGAGTAGTGGGACAGATGCTTGGCCAAATATCTGACAGTCTTATTTTTTTTTGGGTCGGTCGTGGGGCTTGAACTCTGGGCCTGGGCGCTGTCCCTCAGCTCTTCAGCTCAAGGCGAGCGCTCTACCACTTGAGCCACAGCACTACTTCTGGTTTTCTGATGGTTTATTGGAGATAAGAGTTTCACCGACTTTCCTGCCTGGGCTGGCTTTGAACTGTGATCCTCAGATTTCAGCCTCTTCAGTAGCTAGGATTGCAGGCGTGAGCCACCAGCGCCTGGCTTTGACAGTCTTTTTTAATTGGGTAAAATGCACACCAAAGCTGCCGTGTGTTTCCATCAGTACATTCACAGAGTGGTAACAAATCACTACATCAACAGCTTGCTCCCTGGGGGGGCCCGTCACCCCTCCATTTCATTCAGAGAGGTACCCGTGAGGGTGGCTCTGAAGTCACTAACAGCACTTCAATTCCCAGTCCACCTTTATCAATCACAGAGACGTCTCTGCTGAGCACACAGCAATGCTGGGCGCTCATGTCAGCTCTATACTGGAGCTTGAAATCCAGTATCATCGTTTCTCTTCTCAGATGAGGAAACCAAGGGTCAAATGGACGCAGGGGCTTGTCCACGACCCTGGGACCAGCTGGTGGGCCAAAGGGACAGCATCTAGTCAGCGGCCTTTGATGCTAAGAAGATGCCGTGCAGTGTAGTGAGTCCAGTTAGGGCATGCTTCAATCTCTTCTGTACCCCGAAACGCATGAGGTAGAGGGGAGAATAGGCATACCACTGTTTTTCTGTAATGTCCTACTTATTGGCTTAGGAGAGACAAGATTGGGTCTCTGCATAGCCAAGGGAAGGAAAGCTCCGCCCCAGCCCTGGTAAAGGTAGAATTTACACCCACAGCCGCTTACTCGAGGCCAAGTGTCCTTTGTTGCACATGGAAATGATTTCTGTACAACAGGGAATTACTTACAATGGGTCCTGTGCACTGGGTAACATAGCATGAGCACTATTTGATCACGTTCAAAGGGAAGGAAAATGTCAGGGATCTCACCAAGCGACCCCAGGGCGGCAGGAGGCCGTCGCGGCCCAGGCCTCGCAGGACTGTCTCCAGCTCCCCACCGTCTCTCACCATCCGCTTTGGAGTCGGTGTGGTGGTTAGGTGTCCTGACAGAAATCTTCCACTAATCTGGTCCCCTCTGGGAGCCCCAATAGGGGACTCAAGGGCCCCGGCCTGCTTGGACTCCTGTCTGCTGCTCAAGACATGCACGTGAGCCATCAGAGACTAACTTTGTCTACCAAAGCTGGCAGGTACAAGTTATAAAGTGGGGTAACCGGCTGCTGCTGGACAGGGCTTCATCACATAAGTGCCCAGCCCGCTATGATGGACACGTCTCATGAGGGGTGCTGGGAGCTGAAGGGTTAATAGCACAAATAAACACGCATCTCTCCCAGAACTGGTTCAAACGTTATTTTGATTTTTGAATTCAAATTGCATCTTTAAAAAAAATACCTCGCATACTTTCATGAGACTTTGTAGTATATGTACATGCGCTAAAGCTCCTCTGGTTTTTTTTTTTTTTTTTTTTTGTCGGTTATGGGGCTTGAACTCTGGGCCTGGGCGCTGTCCCTCAGCTCTTCAGCTCAAGGTGAGCACTCTACCACTTGAGCCACAGCACCACTTCTGGTTTTCTGAGTGATTTATTGGACGTAAGAGTCTCACAGAGCCTGGCGCCGGTGGCTCACGCCAGTAATCCTAGCTACTCAAGAGGCTGAGGATCATGGTTCAAAGTCAGCCTGGGCAAGAGAGTCCATAAGATTCTTGTCCTCAATTAACCACCAAAACCCAGAAGTGGCACTCTGGCTCAAGTGGTAAAGTGCTAGCCTTGAGCTAAAGAGCTCAAGGACAGTGCCCAGACCCAGAGTTCAAGCCCAGAGACAAACAAACAAACAAAGTCTCACAGGCTTTCCTGCCTGGACTGTCTTTGAACTGCAGTCCTCAGATCTCAGCCTCCTGAGTAGCTAGGATTATAGGGGTGAGCCACTGGTGCCCGAATTCCTCTGGTTTTATTTCACCATTTTTTTTTTTTGGGGTCCATTCATGGGCCCAACTCTGGGCCTGGGTGCTGTCCCTTAGCTCTTCAGCTCAAGGCTAGCGCTCTACCACTTGAGCCACAGCGCCACTTCCGGCTTTTTTCTTTTTGCTTATGTGGTGCTGGGGAATCGAACCCAGGGCCTCAGGCATGCAAGGCAAGCGCTCTACCACTGAGCCACCTTCCCAGCTCCTTTATTTCACCATTTTATCCAGTTCTCTCTGTCTCAATTCACTTCTTTTCCTTCCTTCCTTCTTTTTTTTTTTTTTTTGCCAGTTCTGTGGGTTGAGCTCTGGGCCTGGGCGCTGTCCCTGAGCTCCTTTCATTCAAGCCTAGCGCTGTACCACTTGAGCCACAGTGCCACTTCTGGCTTATTCTGTGATTAACTGGAGATAAGAGTCTCACTGGCTTTGAACTACAATCCTCAGATCTCAGCCTCTTGAGTGGCTAGGATTACAGGTGTGAGCCACTGGTGCCCAGCCGGCCTTCCTTTTTCTTTCTTTCTCTTCCTTTCCTTCCCTTTCCTCCTTTCTTTCTCTCTTTCTTTTGTCCTTTCTTCTTTCCTTCCTTCCCTCCTTTCTTTCTTCCCCGCCTTCCCACTTTCCCTCCCTCCCTTCCTTCCTGTCTTTCTAGTCTCACTATGTAGCTAGCCCACGTTGGCCTCAGACTGTCAATCCTGCCTCAGCCTCCCAAGAGCTGGGATTACAGGTGTGTACAGCATGCTGGCTCCTCTCACCCCTGTTTAATCTTCTATTTACCTAAATTTAGAAAAATAAAAAAAAACAGGGTTCCAGGCGTGACTCAGGTAATAAAGCCTAAATTCAAACCATTGTTCCACAAGCACATAAAAAAAATTAATAAAGTAATCAATAAATAAGCTCCCGAGTCATTCCTGAAATGTGGTAGAAGAAAAGCCAACGAATCAACCCACTGTCCTGGAGAACAGCAGGGCTTTGCAGCTCCTCGCTGCGGGCGTGGCCTGTGCCACGCGTGTGCCTGGCGCCCTCCAGGTCCCAGGCGGCACCAGGGGGGAGGTTTTAGCTCGGATGTGGTCAGAGTTGGAAGGTGGCGACTTCAGTCCCTGAAACATCTCCACTCTGGCTTTTCCTCCAACGCCTTCTGCTTACCCTTCCTGGAATCACAAGATTGTCGATGCCAATCAAGTCTTTCTTGAGCTCGTGCAGTTTCTGGAAATTCTCCATCTTGATCATGGTACTGTGCAGCTGGGCTACCATCTCCGTGATCTCTGCCAGCGCGGCTGCGGGAGGCAGGCGGCACAGGTGAGCGAAGCCGGGGCGCTTTCCCGCCCACCTCCAGCCCACCAGGCACTGCTAAACACGACCCTAAAAACTGCTAGCTGCAAACGCCAAGTGCTCCAGCTGACACACTTAGGCTTCTCTTTGCTTTCCCCCAAACCTCCCTCATGCCATGCGTGGAAGGGCCGAGTTTGCCCTTCTTGCTCTCTCTCTGGCTTCTTATCACAGCGTGCTGCATCTCCACCCTGGGGCCCACCCCCAGCTGGCTCCGTCTTTAGTTCCAACAGTGCCATCTGGTTTGGAAACAGCGGGCCAGGGTGGTCAAAAACATGGCTCGGTTTATGTTCCAAATGGCTTATGCCGCAGATGTGCAGCTCTGTGCAGGCTGTTTGGCCTCTCCGTCTCAGAAGTCCCGCATGTCAACTAGACTCCCCTGCCTCCAGCCAGGAGTGAAGATGCTGAGTTAATTTAGGTGGGCTGCTGACTATGGCGGCCAGCACATTATAAATGCCCAGGGGGTAATGAGGGAGACAATCAGGGCCCAGCCCAAGGAAGGGAACCAATTTCATCCATGAAGACCAAGGAGGCTTAAGTTTGAGGAAGCCCTGCCTGGCTTACTAGAGCTTCTTTGGGGTTCTCTCCAAGGAGAGGAAGCATGCTACATGGAATAAGGAATGGTAATGCCCAGGATGCCACATAATAGTGGATTATGAAAACGTCGATCATTAGCCAGGCGCCAGTGGCTGTCATCCTAGTTACTCAGGAGGCTGAGATCTGAGGATCACGGTTAAAGCCAGCCTGGGCTGTGAGACTCCTATCTCCAATAAACCACCAGAAAACCGGAAGTGGCGCTGTGGCTCAAGTGGTAGAGTGTCAGCTCAGGGACAGTGACTGGGCCCAGAGTTCAAGCCCCACAACGGAGAAAGAGAGAAAGAAAGAAAGGAAGGAAGACAGAAAGAAAGAAAGAAGGAAAGAAAGAGAGAAAAAAGTGTGTCAGAGGAGCAGATGTCCCAGGCAGTGTGCACCACTTCCCTTCCGCCCCCCCCCCCCCCCCCCCCCCCCCGCCCTGGGCTGTGCACGCCACCCCCCTCCCCCAACTCACCCCGGCAGTCCCTGAAGTCGGCATGGCTGGGCGGGTGGTGCTTGCACAGCCGCTCCAGCACCTGCTTGTAGTGCATGAGCCGGTGCAGCGGGCGCAGGAGGAAGGTGTTGAGCGGCAGGTAGCACACCTTCTGCATCTCAAAGTCTCGGCAGAAGTGCTCCAGCCGCCGCGAGCTCTTGATTGACGTCTCCAGCGCCTCCAACGCCTCGCTGTGCTTCCACAGGTGAGCCGACAGGTGCTAGGGGGTCGGGGGGGCGCAAGAGGAGGGCGGATCAGGGGCTCCACTCAGATGACAGGATGTGGATGAGGGTCACCTTCGCTCTCATTTCATCGCACTATAATTTCCTTAAAGTTCCTGCTTCTCTATACATTATTATTATTATTATCATTATTGGTTGTGGGGCCTGAAACTCTAGGCCTGGGCATTGTCCCTCAGCTCTTTAAGACTAGTGCTCTACCAATTGAGCCACAGCACTGCTTCCTGCTTTTTCTGCTTATGTGGTGCTGAGGAATCGAACCCAGGACCTCAGGCATGCAAGGCAAGCACTCTACTAATGAGCCACCTTCCCAGCCCCCTCCACACATTATTTAAATGAAATTGGGAATAAGAAGTCCAGTGAGATACTGAGCAGTCTCAACTACACATCCATTAGGAGACAGGAGAGCTGCGGAATGTATACTAGAGGCATAAATGACCTTTGCAAAATGAGACTGACAAAAATCCAGGGCTAATATGTGAAAAGGAACTCCTGACATCCTATGTCATTATAAGATGACAAATAGACCAGCACTGTTAAAAAAAAAAAGCCTCAAAAAGAGTTTTGTTTATTTTAAAAATATATTTGGGGCTGCTGGCACACACCTGTAGTCTCAACCCTTGGGAGGCTGAGGCAGGAGGATTATTAGTTCAAGGCCACCTACTGGTAACTGGGGTGTAGGCACTGACCCTACTCTACAGGGATGGTGGGAGACAGAAAGGGGGTAACAATTCTGTCACCCAGGAAGAGGGAAGATGGGGGGTTTGGGGACTAGATGCTTTGGGCTGGATGGGGGGGGGCGCAGGGTGGAGGGCTCCCCAGGACAAGGCAATGGCCGCCAGCTCCAACTCCTACTCTGCACCGCCTTCCAGGGAAGGCCGACTACTCTGGAAGCTCTCATCCAGCTGTGGGCACGGCCACGCCCCGTCCACAGCCAGAGCACGGCCAGGCCTCCTCCGGCAATGAGCTACCACACTATTCCCAGGGAACATTCTGGATTCTTTCTCTGAACCCATCGCCAAGTCCTACACACAAGATCTAGAAACATCACTGTGCTGTTTCATTCCCGAGCTCACGGACCCGTGCGGCCCGGCGTTCACCGCACTCCCTGCACTCAGTAGGCCGCTGCAGCGAACATGCTGAACGGCTGTCAAACCTGAAGACCTGTTCCCTCGGCCCTGCCAGCCTCAGTGCCCACCCAACACACTCCCTGAGCAACCTGCACACGTCCCTGTCAGGTTCCTGTACATGCCCCCTGCTTAGCTTCCCCCTAGGGTCTATATTCCAGGGCCTTCCCCTTGCCCACCTGCTGCTGCCAGCGTGTGCCCACGCTGCGAGTTTTCACATTTTGTTCACAATTAATTTTTATGCTGGTCCTAGGCTTGAATTCAGCACATGGCCACTATCCCTGAGCTTTTTTTTTTTGTTGTTCAAGGCTAGCACTCTACCACTTGAGGCATAGCCCCATTTCCTGTTTTTTGGTGATTCATTGGGGATAGAGTCTTCACAGACTTTCCTGCCTGAGCTGGCTTTGAACCCAATCCTCAGATCTCAGCCCCTCGAGTAGCTAGGATTACAGGTGTGAGCCACCAGTGCCCGGCCTAGATTTTATTTTGAAACATACATCCACAGCAGGCTGCAAAGAAATGTATAAGGAGTCACCGGGAACCTCTCCTCTGCACCCCCTCAACGGTGCCATCCTCCACAGCTAACGAGCACCAACCCTGGGACGTGAGCATTGGTACAGTCCACTCTGGTCACGTGTGCCTTCAGTATGTGCACACATGCGCATGCGCACATGTATGTGTGGGGATATACACATGGAGTCTGGATTTGCAAACGTGGATGTATCCATACTGCCAGGCATATGCGGTAATGCCTAGTCAATCTTGCTTGCGTGTGCTAATGAGCAGAGATGCTAGCGAAGGCGGGAGGACAGGGCAGCACTGCTTTCCTTGGCATGGCTTTTCAGGTGTCTAGGCTGTTTCTGGGATCTAGGCAGTTGGCAGGTAGGTATTACATTTGGATTAGAGACTACAGTTTGGGGCTCCCTGATTTTCAGGGGGGGGGCGGTCAATGCCCAGGGCCAAGCTCCCTGAGTCCTCCTGCAGCCCCAGCTCCCAGAAGACAACACGTGCCCAGTGCCAACTGCACACACTCTCCCAGTTCCTGGCTCCTGCAGGACATGTGAAAATGCAGGTAAGTGTGCAACCAGATGGGGTGGGTGGGGCAGGAAAGACACAGCAGCTGGATATCAGCCCTAGAGTCCTGGAAAAGAGTGCTAATCTCCAGAACCTTCTGCTGCTCCCCCTATGCTTTATGAAAAAGCAAACAACAACTAGCATAACCTAAGTCATTTCTCACACCAGCTCCTCCTCTCTTCTATCTTGATTTTGCTTGTGCACTGCTTAGTGCTATAAACACTCATGGCGGTGGCATGGTGCTGAAATGCTTGCAGGGCCTTAGACGCCTTGGTGTCCCAAATGCCCGCTCTCCTGCCCGGCTGGGGAAAAGCACTCGCTGTGCAGTAAGCAGGAGCTGGTGTGTTTTCAGGAGGCCTCTGTGCTGGTTGATAAAGGGTAGGTGGGAAAGCCCGGGGTGTATTGCTAAACGGGTCTGAGAAGGCATTGAAGGAGAGCTGGTCAATAGTAGGACACTGAGACTGTTCCCACGGGATGGGGGAACCTTGTCTGAAGGTTCCCCCATCTGAGCCTCCTTGACCCTCTACTAGGAGGCTGTGATCCCAGATAAGGGAAACAAGGTGAAAAAACAAAACCAGAAACAGGCTGAGAAGAAGTATGCAGCCTCTGAAGAGGTGTCTTATGGAAGGAGGCGTTTTGATGGCATCTCTTCCATTATTTCAATGGAAAAACACACCAGGATCCAATGACGTCAAAGAAGAGAGGGCCAGAGGGGAAAGGCCACATCCTGTGTGGATCCAACCATAGTACATTCTGGAAAAGGTGAGACTCCAGGGCTGGTGGAAGATTGGCACGGGAGGGAGGGGTGGAGAGTGTATAGACGAAGCACAGGGGATGTTTAAGGTAGGGAAACCCTTCTGCACACTCTCTTGTCATTATACATTTGTCAACACTCAGAATGAGTGAGGCTGGAGGCCAAGTATTGACCTTGCTTCATGAGAATGTATCAATATGGATTTATCAGTTTCAACAGCAAAATGTTAGTAAGAACGGAAACCCTGTGTTGAGGGAAGGAGGGAGTGGAAACTGTATTTAATGCTCAAGTTTTCTATAAACTTAAAACTGCTTATATATAATACTCACATATTTATTCTGCTATATATTATATGAAAGAAACCAAAATGATGGACTGAAAATGAAATGTGCACTCAACCAAAATATTTTTTTTTTTTTTTGCCAGTACTGAGGTTTGAACTCAGCATCTCACACTTGCTTTGTTGGTGATCTACCACTTGAGTCATGCCTCCAGCCTGGCTTTTTTTGATGATTATTTGGAGATGGAGTCAGATTTTTATGTCCAGGCTGGTTTCCAACAGTGATCTCCTGAATCACAGCCTTCCAGATAGCCAGGATTACAGGCAGGTGTGCACCTGGTTCAAACATGTTTTGTCTGCATCATTTACAAACAAAAAAATTGCCGGTGACTCATGCCTGTAGTCCTAGCTACTCAGCAGGCTGAGATCTGAGGATCATGATTCAAAGCCAGCCTAGACAGGAAAGTCTGTGAGATTCTTATCTCCAATAAACCACTAGAAAACCGGAAATGGAGGTGTGGTTCAAGCGGTAGAATGCTCGCCTTGAGCTGAAGAGTACAGGGACAGCACCCAAGCCCAGAGTTCAAGCCCCACTACTAACAAAAAAAAAAAAAAAAAAAATCACTACAAAATCTACTTATATAAAAAAATAACAGGAGTGCTGGGAAGGTGGCTCAGTGGTAGAGTGCTTGCCTTGCATGCCTGAGGCCCTGGGTTCGATTCCTCAGCACCACATAAGAAAAAAGAAAAAAGCCAGAAGTGGCTCTGTGGTCCAAGTGGCAGAGCGCTAGCCTTGAGCTGAAGAGCTGAGGGACAGCGCCCAGGCCCAGAGTTCAGGCCCCACGACCGGACCCCCCCTCCCCCCCCAAAAAAAAAAAACAGGTACTATTGCCTTGTGTTTGTTACCTAGTTACTTGGGAGGCTAGGAGTGGGAGGTTTCAAGGCTAGCCAGGGCAGAAAAGTCCAGGAGACCCCCTTTCAACCCATCTTGGTCCAGGCAAGGTCTGGGGCAGGAAATGAGAACTTATCTCAAAAATAACCTGTACAAGAAAGGGCTGGAGGCATGGCTCAGTGGTAGAATGCCTTTCTAAGAAGCAGGAGGTATTGAGTTCAAAGCCCAGTTCCAGAAAAGATTAAACCCATGTGTTTTATGTATGAACCAAACAACTAGGGTTTGCCTACCCTAATGTTATGTGGAAAGGCTGAAGAAGAGCTCACAGCAGCGTTCACCTCCACTGTGTCCTGCCAGGTGCAGGCAGCCAGGGGATGTATGCAGACAAGAAAGGGCTCCTGGGCCTGGGAACTCCCTTATCTACCCTCAGAGCAGCTCACCTTCATACCCTGGATATTCTTCAGCATGATGTCCCCGATTCTTTGGTGATCTCCTCTGATGTGAGCATTAGAGCGGCCTTCCCTGCCAAGGGAGAAACACAAAGCATTAGCAGGAACAAAGGGCAAAACACCAGCCATGATGTCCTCATCAATCACCCATCCGAAGGAGTCCTGGAAATGACCCCCTGACCTCCACTCTTCCCCCCCCCCCCCCCCCCCCCGCAGTGCAGAAACAATTTCTAATCCCTTTCGTTGAGTCTGACATTCTGTGTTCCATCCGCACTTGGGTGATTTGGGTATCATGAGGTCAGCATGAAGGTCACTTGAGGTCACTGGCTCAGAGTCTGTCCCATAGGTGGGCCCCAGGGGCCATCTGTAGGGAGCAGACTTAGCTCCCAAGAGACTTTAGCCTGCAGCAATCAACTGTCTGGAAAGCCCTTGAGAAGGAGAAAATAGAACTGAGGGTGAATGGGAGATCCATTCCCGGTGGGGAGATGACACAGGGCAGCGTGGCTGGCCAGATTCAGGGGGATGGGGCACATCAGGCACTGCCAGACCTGCGGCGGGTGGTAGATGGCAAAGTTGGTTGTGCTGTAGGGTGTAGATTCCTGTTTCCTACAGGAGATTGCTTTAGCGGATGGTGATGAGCCAGGGTTTGAACAGCAAAGAGAAAAAGAACAGTAGTAGTGAATATTTACTGAATGCTTCAGGCTGGGCGCTATGGTTCACGCCTGTAACTCTGACAACTCAAGAAGCTGAGCTAAGGTGCAGTCATGGTTCCAGGCCAGCCCAGGCATACATGCAAGAACCCTACCCAACCACTAGCGGAGTGCAGTGGCACACACCTATGGTCCCAGCTACATAGAAGGCTGAGGTGTGGAGCATCAGGGTTCAAAGCCAGCCTTGACAGAAAAGTCTGTGAGACGCCATCTCTACAGAAGAAGCTGGGTGTGGTGGCATAGGCCTGTTATCCCAGCTATACAAGCAGCCTAAAACAGGCATATTGCAGTGCAGGTGCATGCCTGGAGAAGTAAGCAAGACTCTCTCAAAAATAACTACTGCAGCCAGGCTATGGTGGCTCACACCTGTCATCCTAGCTATTTAGGAGGCTGAGATCTGAGGATCATGGTTGAAGCCAGCCTAGACAGGAACATCTATGAGACTCTTATCTACACTAAACCACCAAACAAAGCTGGAAGTAGAATTGTAACTCAAGAGGCAGAGTGCTAGCCTTGAGCACAAAAGCTCAGGGATAGCACCCAAGCTGTGAGTTCAAGCCCCAGGACTGGCCTAAAACCAACAAAATAGTGCAAAAAAGGGGCTGAGCTAGAGTCTGCCTAACAATTTTGAGGCCTTAAGCTTAAATTCCAGTACTGCCAAAGAAGAGCAATGGAGAGGGTTATTGTGATTGAAGTATAAAATACGCAATCTGATCGTTAATCACGAATGAAAGGACAATGAGACCGGCTGTGTGAGGGAAGTGGGGGCGGATGAAAGGGGGGGTGAGGGCAAGAAGTGTCAAAGAGGTTTATTTGCACGCATGAGAGCAGAACAATGAAATCTGCCACCATTGTTTTAAGAAGGGATGAGGGAGCACGGAGGGGCTGTGTTTGTTGGGGATATGGGGTGTGCATGTACAGAAATGTCTGTGAGCCCTACTACAACCAATTCATTCTAATAAAAAAATAGTACTGTTGGGCGCCGGTGGCTCATGCCTGTAATCCTAGCTACTCAAGAGGCTGACTGAGGATCATGGTTAAAGCCAGCCTGGGCAGGAAAGTCCGTGAGATTCTTATCTCTAATAAACCACTAGAAAACCGGAAGTGGTGCTGTGGCTCAAGCGGTAGAGCACTTGCCTTGAGCTGAAGAGTACAGGGACAGCGCCCAACACAACCGACAAAAAAAGAAAAGAAAAAGAAAGTACCATCACCACCACTCCAAAAAAAAAAAGTACTGACTTTTTCATGTTCCAGTATGCTAAGCACCTTATAAAGCATTTAATTCATGTGTAGCTCAGAGCAACCTCATTTGATAGCAAGGGAAACTGAGGCACAAAGAAACCAACTTGTCCAGTATCTGTCACCAGAAAGCAAGGAATTTGTTCTTTCTGGGTTCAATGGGCTGGTGTGTAAGTCAGTGCCCATATGCAAATGTTGATGTGCTAATTCAGCCAGTGATGAGAAAAGAACTTTCCAGAATAAAGCCATAAGTAGCCTCACTACTACCTTCAAACCAACTGTTCAGGTGAGCCAGAGGCTAACTCATGTGAAAAGGAATGACTTCAACAAAAGCAATAAAACCTAACACTCTGAGCCCCGGGGCTTCAAGCTAGCCGCAGGAGGGGACCTGGCGTGGGAACGGCGTGGGCAGGAGGGAGACAGCTTGGCGGATAGCAACAGAGCACCCCCAAACTTGCCTCGTGTTCACCCCCAAATCCTCAGCACCATTTATCCTACCGATTCCAGCATGACTGAGTTAAGTCATGTCATGGACGGAGGGCAGCCGGGCCTCCAAGGCCATGAGAACCCCTTTAAAACAAGAAGCAAAAGAAAAGAAGAGCGATCTTCCGCTCCCAGTGCCCCTCTTCTCTCCAGACCTGCTTGTCAATCATCTTCACTAGCTCCTGCCCCCTCCTCTGCCCTCCTCTTCCTCTCCCTCCCTCCCTCCCTTTCTGGAACACCATGACTGTACCACACAGCTCTCCCCTCTAAAGGGCGCCCCCGCAACTTGAGGGTGACTCAGTGCCACCCATCTCCACCAGGGGACTGGGCCCAACGGACACCCGATGGGTGGGAACAGGACTGTTATCTGGGATGGACGCACATTAGCTGGGGCGTGCCATCTGGCAGTACAGGTAAGAAAGGGCTTTAGCATAAAGGCCGTAACTGACTGCTTTTAATGACAGTGGTTTGGACTGAGTGGGGGAGAGGGAAGCAAGGTGGGCGTGGGGTGGTGTCCACGCGTGACAAGCACTTCCCATTGTCTGTCCTCTGCCCAAGACAGATGAAAAGCTGTAAGGCTGCAAGGGGGGGGGCAGGACACCAGTGGGAGCCACATTTCATTCATTCGCTTCCTCTGTTCTGTTGCCAACTATTTAGTACAAGAAAATCTGATGCTACAACAGGGCCCTTCCTTCCCAGAGCTACATGCGCTCCTTTACCATCTTCCCTTCTACAGCAGAGAGGGGTCACTCTGGGTGACGTCATATGCTGGGAAGGGGGCCTGTAGAGTACAACCACTCTCTCCCCTTCCCCCCTCCCTGCACTGCCAGCCCCAGGCAGAGACTGTGGCATTGGGACAAACCCAAATTCCTGCTGCTCCACATATGAATGCTTTCACACCCCACAGCCTCTACGTGCTGCCGCCACCAACCAACGTCCAAGGCTTTCGTTCTATGTCATGCAGCTAAAAGGTCATTTGTCATCAAGAGCAGGGAAGAGTAAGTAGAGCTCTTTCCTGACATCCTCCGGATGTCAGCCCCACAGGGAAAGTCCTTGTGTGGAGGGCGGGGCCACGCATCGGTCATTGTGTCATGACCACGGAGCAAGAGAGGAAAACCATGCACAGTCTATGAAGAAACTGCCCAGATGCTAGACTCTGACCCGTGCAACACGATGCATTCCGTCCAGGAGCAACTGTGCAGGATCCTGGCAGAGGATTGCAATACACACTCACATTGCATACACTCACATTCTGTGCACACATGCACACACTACACACCACATACATTTGCACACACTCTGCACACATACACGTGTTCAAATCAGCTGGCCTTGCTCAAACACTTCATTCATTCACCGCGGTGTAAGCTGCTTAGTGAGTTCTTGGGTGAGTCTCTGACCAGGCACCCCATTTCTGAGCCTCATTTTCCTTAAGAAGATGAGGGAGATTCTCATGGTCAAAGGAGAGAAGCTAAGTTTAGTTCTTAACAATGCTACAGAAACACACAGCGCTACTCTACCCAAACACTGCCCATTTTACCCATCTTACATCATTTTGTAGCTTCTCTGGGATCCTGATGCCAATTTCTTCCAAGGGGGAGGGTCTCACACACCCCCTGGGGAGCTGTGAGTAGAAGGCAGGCCAAGAGTCTCCTGTGTCCCCTGAACCCCTTCCCCTACTTGGTTTTAGTGGTACTGGGCTCTGTGCTCACTAGCCAGTCATTTACTACCAAGCCATGCCCCAGGCTCCTTTTGCATTGAGATTGTCTTGCCTTTTCCCTGGACCTGGACTGTGATTCTCCTATTTACACTTTCTACTGTTGCTGGGATGATGGGTGAGCCTCACCACATGTCCAGCTTCTTTCCATTGAGATGGGGTCTGGAACCATGATCTTCTAGATCACTTCCTCTTAGGTATTTGGGATTACAGGCACAACCACCAGTCCCAGCTATTACCAACCCCTCCTTTTAAGTCTTCATAGGCCTATCTGGCTGCCTGTTAGCACGGCGGGGGAGTGGTATGATTAGAATGAAAGTCCTACAAGAGCAGGGCCAAGCGTGCATGGTTCACAAAACACTGACATTTAGTAGGACACCATCCTAAAGATCTGTTGAATAAACCAAGGAAGATTCTTGTCAATTTAGCCGACTATGATTCATCCCAAATCTGTGGTGTATTTTTTTTTTTCTGAACAAAAAGAAATGAGGAATACATGGCTTCCCCAGGGTGGGTAGACTCCGTGTAAGGAAGGTTCTAGTCCACAGGACAGCTCCAGATGTGACTTCTGTGTTAGCAAGGTTTCTGCTCCTTTGTGTTGAAGGTTCTCACATTCTTAGAGCCTGGCTAACTGTCTCACCAACTCCTCTCTGGCATACATGGGGAGAGAGCCACGAATCCTTCCTTCCTTCTTTGCAAACGAAGAGGTCAATATTAGGAACTTTAGTTCCTATCCAGGGCCTCAGTCAGTGCTGACTGGTGTGGGGGCGATTCTCAATTGAGTGGAGGGGTGGGTGTATGGGTGCATGGGTGTGTGCACAGGGGTAGGCCTGGAGCTGGCTTCTTGTGTTTTGTGTGTGTGTGTGTGTGTGTGTGTGTGTGTGTGTGTGTGTGCCGATGCTGGGGCCTGAACTTAGGGCTTAG